TTTTTTGGAAAGTTCAGGTTCCTATTTGCAGTCTGTTTGGGTTTCTGTTTTGGTATAAATACCAATACGATTTGAGGGTTTTGGAGGAGCGTTTTGGGGGATTTTGGAGCATAGAAAAAGAGATCTTTCTGAGCTATTTGTTAGGGTTATTGGTTGAGAGGTTGAGAGATTTGTTGGTAAGATTAGTTGGTTTGTTTGAGCGATTTGTAATCTCAATTTGTACTCTCCTTCTCTATTAGTGGAAACCCTCCCCCTTCTTGCCCCGTGGACGTAGGCAATTGCCGAACCACGTTAAAATTGGTGTTAGGTTTGTGCATTGATATTTGGTTGTTTTTGGCCTTCTTTCATCGGCGTTTGTTTTGGTTCCTCGGCGCCGCCGTCGGTCACAACAAGTGGTATCAGAGCTCGGGCTACGCTTCGGCTATTTGGAAGAGTAGATCGCTTTGGAAGTTCGTCTAGGGCTTCATTTGGTGATAAAGGTGGGATCTTTTTAGTAAAAATCTCGTCTTTTTCAGTTTGGATCTATTTCTCGTTTGTTTCCGCATTGGTTTGGTGGTGTTTGAGGATTATGGCCGAGAAAGAAGGAGTTGTGGGCAGTACTTCCGGCGTGAAGACCGTCCAAAGCTTGAATATCCATTCGATGAAGATTGACGTAGAAAAGTTCAATGGCACAAACAATTTTGGACTTTGGCGATGCGAAGTCATGGATGCGCTCAACACGCAAAATTTGGAAGATACGTTGGAGTTGGACGGGAAACCGGACAACATTGATGAGAAGGTTTGGAAAAAGATGAATCGAACGGTGTGTGGTGTGATTAGGTCTTGTCTCACTCAAGATCTAAAGTATGATGTGATCAATGAGACTTCTGCAAAGAAGATTTGGGAGATCCTTGAGAGCAAGTATTTGACCAAGAGTGTGGAGAATCGCTTGCATTTGAAGAGGAGGCTTTACCGCTTCCAGTTGAAGAAAGGAACCTCCATTGGTGATCACATGAACCACTACACGAAGCTTCTTGCGGATTTGACGAATGTAGATGTGGTGATTGAAGATGAGGACAAGGCGTTGTTGTTGTTGAGTTCCTTGCCCGACGAGGAATATGAGACATTCGTTCTTACTCTTATTAATGGGAAGGCATCTCTTTCGTATAGTGAGGTCACCGCTGCACTTGTGAATTATCAGCTTCGAAAGAAGGATAAGGAGACTTCGATTGAGCCGGTAGCGGGGGCGTTGGTCGCAAGAGCAAAGGGTCCAAACCGTAGTGGGAGGTCGCAGTCTAGAGGGGCACATCTTGGAGTTCGTAAGAATCAGTGTGCCTTTTGCAAAGAAGATGGATATTAGAAAGCCGATTGCCCAAAGTTAGTTGATCGAGCCGGGAAGAATAAGGGAAAAGCTATTCAAGCTTCAGAGGCGAATGTTGTCAAGGCTAGTGGCAACGATTCAGATTCGGATTCTTCGGGCTACTCGTTATCTGCACTGCCGTCAGTTTGTGTTGCCTACTCTACAGAGTGGATATTGGATTCGGGTGCTACATACCACATTTGCCCTAGGAGGGATTGGTTCTCCAGCTTTGAGGAGTTGGAAAGAGGGGATTTCGTGCTCATGGGGAATGATCACAAATGCTCTATTGGTGGTATCGGTACTGTTCGTATCAGGATGAGTGACGGGGTGATTCGGGAGTTGGTTGGAGTGAGGTTCGTTCCTCAGTTGAAGAAGAACATCATTTCACTTGGAGCTTTGGAGGCAGCGGGCTATAGGGTGACCTTGGCGGATGCACGCTTGAAGGTTACATTTGGGTCCATGATTGTGATGAAGGGCGTAAGAAGGAGAAATTTGTATTATTTGCACGGAAGCACGGTGATTGATAGGGAAATGACGACTTCATCAGATTCGGCTAGACTGTGGCATTGTTTGGTGCTGGGGTATATGACTGGTAATGTCGTGCATTGGTTGTTGAGGAGTGCTATGTCCTGCAGATTGAAGTCCTGTGAGCACATTGGGATGAGCAAGACCGTGGTGAAGTTTGGCATTCCTATCCATCGAGCGAGGGGTCTTTTAGGAGGTGTTCAGTCAGGCATTTGGGGGCCTTCCAAGGAGGCATCATTGGGAGGTAATCGTATCTTGGTTTCCGCAATTGATGATTGTTCTAGGCATTATTGGGTCACGACCAGTTCTCGTTGGTGTAAAGTCCTGAAAGTCAACAACAGTTGGAAGAAGTGTATTGGCAGAAAGGTAACTCGTTGTTTTAGCTTTGGTAGGGGTCCTTTCTTGCGTTTGTGCCGAGCTCACGGCAGTAGGAGACACTTCATTAGTGTGGAGACTTTGGGGCGACGAGATGAGATGACAGTTTCGATGGGTCGTTCCTTTCTAGAGGAGGATCGGCATTGGTTGTCGAGCATTGGTTATGAAGCTTCGACATATTTGGGTCATCTTAGTCACAGGTCGCCGACTGCTGCATTAGGAGTTATTGGATCTGGTGGAGCTGCTTCAGATTTTGGGTTGCGTCGGATATTTGGATACCCAGCATTTGGTCACATCGAGGATGTGAGATTTGATCCGATTGCGTGTTTGGGATTCAGAGGCTCATTTGATTATCGTTTGGGAGCTTCTGATTTTGTTCTGAGAAGGTATGTCACTTTTGACTTTCGGCAGGTGGAGAGTGTTGATCAGATCGTTTGGATATCGCAGCAGGTGGAGAGTGATGCTACTCCATGTTGGGTGGAGATTACTCCACGTACTCCAGATCATACTGCATCATTTGGGATTCCAGCTGAGGTGACACAGGTTGGGAATCATTTGATTTCAGATGCAGATGATGGATTGGTTTTGGATTCGGTTGCAGCTGGTGGACATGATTTGGATACGGCCATTGGTTCACCTCATATGGAGGTGTTTGATTTGTATCAGTTTGGGGCCGCTATCAGTTGCAGATCCGTCGGCGATATTGAGGAAGAGTTGCAAACTTTTCTATTTGTTTGAGGGCCTTTGGAGGCCGTTGGATGAACTACGTGAAGGCTTGATTCCTTGGGCAAGAGGATACGTAGGCAGTCAGTTTTGATGCAGCTGATTTGGTGAGCGACATCGACATTTGGGGTGAGTGTTCGCACTCCCGTTTGGGTCTCATTATGTGAGGCATTTGTTTGGTTGGTGTCGGCTCAGTTTTGGGAAAACTTCGCCGAGGTGGAGAATTGTGGAGAAATTTGGAAAATTCAGTTTTTTGCAGATTCTGTGTCATAAGTCGACTCATGCACAGGCATAAGTCGACTTATGGTAAGTCGACTTGTCAGGTCTGATAAGTCGACTTATGATCTGTTCTCCAGTTGCTGTTTTTCGCTCTGCCAAGTCGACTTATGCAGACTGATAAGTCGACTTACGACGGGTTTTTTGGAAAGTTCAGGTTCCTATTTGCAGTATGTTTGGGTTTCTGTTTTGGTATAAATACCAATACGATTTGAGGGTTTTGGAGGAACGTTTTGGGGGATTTTGGAGCACAGAAAAATAGATCTTTCTGAGCTATTTGTTAGGGTTATTGGTTGAGAGGTTGAGAGATTTGTTGGTGAGATTAGTTGGTTTGTTTGAGCGATTTGTAATCTCAATTTGTACTCTCCTTCTTTATTAGTGGAAACCCTCCCTCTTCTTGCCCCGTGGACGTAGGCAATTGCCGAACCACGTTAAAATTGGTGTTTGGTTTGTGCATTGATATTTGGTTGTTTTTGGCCTTCTTTCATCGGCGTTTGTTTTGGTTCCTCGGCGCCGCCGTCGGTCACAACACTCTCTAGCCGATCTCTTGATGAGTTCGAAACTGATTTTCTCCACCAATTTACGAACCAAAATCTGAACCAAATTCTAAACCCTTTACTCAGTTGAGTAAGGTGGTTATTTATATAGACGAGAATCCCTCAAAACGTAGGATAAACGGTTCTGAGGCCGTTCAGCTTGTGTTTGAACAAGTCAAACGCCCAAGTCGGCGTTATAGGCCTTAACTCTGCGTCTTAGACTTGAGACGTAAAGTTGGGTGCCTGTTGAGAATTGAAAACGCAGGGGCCGCCTGCGTTCTAAGTCCTAACTCTGCGTCTCAAGACAAACGTATAAAATTTCGACATGTATTCTTGTTTGATGCTGAGGAAAAGTAACTAAATGAATAAATATCTTATCGTTTCTCTATATAGAATACAGAAAAGCCAAATTTACGTCATACATGTCATAAATAAATAAAAAGGTAGTAAGCATCCTATGGAAAACCATTTAGAAGAAAAAGAAGAAAACCACTTGTCTTTCACTATCAATTTTAAATATATCAATCCAATGGATACATATTAGTATAAACATTTATATATGATATTTGTGCGATCAGGGCATATTTGGCAAAGGGCTAAAGTGCAGATTTAATCCCCAAAAAGGTTAGCTGGGTCAGTGGGCTAACAAAACCTTGCGAAGATTGAACCAGGTTAATACATCAAGATTAACTAATCCGCATGAGGAGACGGATTAAGTTTTATTTGCATCCTAGTCCTTCTTTATTTTCCAAATTAAGACACATAAAAAAAAGAAAAAAGAATTAACACTTCCTTCTTAATTTGAGCTGAATTCATATAATTTGAGCTGAATTCATGGGGTTATATGCAATTTATCCTCATCGCTCACTGGTTCACTCCCTAATTATGTTATGCCCCCTAAAGAAAAGACACAAAGTTATGAGACATGTGGCCGTAGTTGTTTTCTTATCAAACTTTCATCTATTTCCCCCATCAATTCTAGTTGTGACCCATAGAGTGACGGAATTAATAGTGAGAAACAAAATCATAGAGATAGAAAATACAAACTTTAAAGATACGCAATTAGCTTATTCTATCAACGTAATCACCAACTTTAAATTCTGCATCGGACACTTGTCGCCGTCAGCTTTAGTTTATTCGAGGGGGGGCCCTTTGTATTCCTTCAAGTCTCTTCTAAACTAGCAACGGTCCAAAAATAAATAAATAAGAGTATCGCTGACGCTTATATGTTTGTTGTTTTCAACAAACAAACTTATAAGCTAGCTGATGAGGCCGAAGCGAACTCAATGGACGAAGAAGAGAAGAGGGAGGCGTTGCTGAGGAGGGGGGTTTACTTTGAGAACTGTCCTGGTTGCAAGCTTGACGAGAAGAAGGATGCCAACGTGGGGCATCCGTACAAAGAGTACTTTTACGTGTGGACCGTCTGCCTCTGTGCTGGTAAGCAAGCGAAAGCTATAAGTAAGATATGATTGGATTTTTTTTTTTTTTTTGGGAAATTCATCTTAGATTTTCTTTCATTCATGTTTATTAATTCTTTTGTATTATTTGTACAAGCATAAATTGTTGATAACCCTTCCATCGATATGTTTAGCAACGCTCATCATCCATCATCGTGTTTCGTTCGGAGGAGCAACAGCCGCGCGCGTGTCACTCCTGCAGGCTGCATCCTTTGCAAATTGACCCCTTAAAAGTATCTTTTTTTTTTCCTGGCCACACGCTCCATCGACCACTCCCATCCTCTAATCCATTATCATCAATATCCCTACCTACGACAATATATGATGGACCGGAAAATAATACTTGCAAGCGACCATAAAAAAAAATTTAAAAGCAAAACATGATCAAGCTTGCAAGGACAACCACCACAGCTTCATCCCGTTCGCTTTCGATACGTTTGGTTTCCTTGCAGCTGATGCGGTGGAGTTCCTAAGGAGGGTACAGAAATTCATGAATAAGAATGTGGCGACAGCAGGGTCCGCTGAGTATGTGTTTCGTAGGTTGGGTTTTATAATTCAGAAAGGATTAGCGGCGCAGCTTGTTGTCCGCTTGTCATCATCACATGTGTAATTGTTTATCGCATTAATATCATCTTATTTTTAATAAAAAAAGAAAAAAAGAAAATCAAAAGAAAAAGAAATGAGGAAGAGAGAAGAAGGAGCTTTTTGTCTTTAGACCCAAGGTTTTGTCCTGACTTATTTTTAAACCTATGTAGTTTTATTTATACCTATAAACCCAAACAACTTTGTCTTTTTGTCTTTAAACCTAATCTACCAAATATAATATATGATATGTGGTCCCCACTAAAACTTTAAAAATCCTATTTTACCCCTCTCTCTCTCTCCCTCTCTCTTTGTATTAGGGATTATTTATTATGAGGATGGAGGAAACAGCCCTCAATAATTTTTAGAACTTGCAGAAAACACCCTAAAGCTTGAATTGCAAAATAACCCTTAAATTCAAATTTATGGAAAACACCCTAAAAATTTAAAACCTACAAAATAGAACAACCCATTGAAAATTTTGGATTTATCACATTGGAAGTTTCAAAAATTACAAAAAAGACCCTAAAAAGATCAAAACTTACAAATATATATTTTTATAAATGTTTTTAGGGTAGTTTTGCAAATTTCAAAATGTTGATGGTGATTTTACAATTTTTGAAATTTCCATTGTATTTTTTGCAAATTACAATTTTTTTAGAGGGATGTTTATAATTTGTAAATATTGTACTAATTGTAGGTTTGGATTTTTTAGGGTGTTTTTTAATAAATGTTGAATTATTAATATGTTTTTTATAATTTTTAGAATGTTGAAGGTGTTTTCTGCATATTTCTTTTTTTAGGTGGGGTATTTTTACTTCCAAAATTTCCATTGTACTGCTTGTAAGTTCTAAAATTTTCTATGCACTTTTGTAAATTTTAAATTTTTGATGGTTGTTTATTACAATTATAATTCATAAAAATTTGGTGTACTGATTATAGGTTTGGAATTTTTATGGCGTTTTTTTAAATATATTTTGAATTTGTGGTGTTTTTATAATTTTCAAAATGTTGAAGGTGTTTTCTACATATTCTTTTTTTAGGGGGGTTGTTTTTAGTTCCGAGATTTCTGTTGTACTGTTTGTAAGTTCTGAAATTTTCAAAACACTTTTGTAAATTTTGAATTTTTTATGGTTGTTTATTACAATTTTCAAGGCTAATATTTTTTCTTGTCATATGTATATCTTTTCTTGCTATACTTTTGACTTTTTTATACAATTATGTTATTTTTTACTATACTTTCAATATTTTAATGCTAAATTTATATCTTTTCATGCTAATTTCAATCTTCTCCCGCTATATTTTCATTGTTTGTGTTATACGTATGTCTTTTTATGCTATACTTTCAATATTATGTTGCTAAACTTGTGTGCTTTCCTGCTATACTTTTAACATTTTTTTTGCTATTCTTTTTTTGTTATACTTTCATTATCTTGTTGTTATACTTGCAGAAAATACCCTGAATGGGTTGAAAGTTGCAAAAACTTTTCCTAAAAATTTAAAATTTATAACTCACCCTAAAAGTTTCAACTTATCAATAGTACACCGAAAAATTAGGAATTGCAAACATCCCTTTGAGAAATTTATACTTTGTAAAAAAAACACCCTATAAGTTTCAACAATTGCAAAAAATACCCTAATAAGTTCAAATTTTACAACATTTACAAAAAATACTTGTTTATAAGTTTTGATCTTTTCAGGATGTTTTTACATATTTTAAAATTTGAGGGTGTTTTTTTTGTAATTTTTGAAACTTTTAGTGTGTTTTTTGCGAATTCTAAATTTTTTATTTTGTTGTTCATAATTTCTAGTTTTTATTGTACTATTTGTAGCTTTGAAAATTTTAGATTTTTTCAGTAACTTTGAATTTAGTATGTTTCTTTAATTTAAAACTTTTAGGATTTTTTTTACTAATTCAAAACTTTTTAAGGATTGCTCCCTTTAACCTCATATTTAAGAGATGTATTTTGGGGGGTAGGATTTTTGTGGGGGAAAGGATTTTTAAAGTTTTTTAGTGGGACTACATAGTTATGTAGTGTATTTGAAAGATTAGGTTTATTAAAGACAAACCCATAAAATTGCTTGGTTTTATAGATACAAAAATAACTACTTGAGTTTAAAAATCAATCAAGATAAAGCTTTGAGTTTAAAGGCAAAAACACCTAGAACTAGAACTATTGTCACTTGTTCCCCCGTGCTTGGTACCAAGCACAAAAAGTTATGCTTGGTAGTGAGGTGGCATAATCCCCTATACTCATTCAAATGGTTGCATATCCCCATACACTTCTCAACCCATGTGAATATGGTCCCCTATTTGAATGAGTGGAGGGGATTGTGCCACCTCACTGTCAAGCAAAAAAATTATGCTTGGTACCAAGCATACCCAAATTTGTACTAGGTCCTTATTCATATTAGTCCTCGGGGTCTTAAATCTTTACTCTTTTGAAACTAGTGTAGGTTGTCTAAAAATCATAATAGATAGCTGATCCCCATCAAGCTTCAATGAGGAGAGTTACAACCCGGCGACTCCCATATCTCGATGATAAAAGTTACAATCAGATAACTTTCATGTCAACAAATAAAAACTGCAAATGGAGGACTTTTCACATAGATCGAGAAGAGTTACAATTTAACGATACTTCCGACAATTGATGAAAACTCTATTCAGTGGTCTTCATAATCAACTGTGAGAGTTACAATCTGACGACTTTCACACCCCACAATAGCTAAAGCGAGGATTACTGAACAATGGTCCTTACAACGCTCTACAGAAGAGGTTACAAGTCAACTAACCCAATGCGAGCAAGTTCTGCTGCAGCATCCCGGATACCCATAGCGAGGCTGCCCATATCTATTTGTATTTGGAGGTGTTCCTCGCGCAGGCTGGCAATACGAGACTCTTTCTCAGATAGGCTCTTCTGAAGAATCTCACGGCGTTATGCCTTAGCCGCAGAAAGAGCCTGGTCCACTTCTTCACCTAAATCATCGCGTTGAAGAATCGAAAGCATCTCTAATTCCATTTCTAGAACGATGATACCTTCCCTGCAGGTCTCATTCCAGAACACATTCCCATGACTTCTGATATCCATTAAGCTTTCAGTCAGGAGGGGTCTGAAACGTTCAAAAGGGACCCGCCCTAAGCTAACAATATCAATTGTGAACTGCATTTTTATCTCTAGCTGCCTGATGATCTCTCTCAAAGCTTTCGAGCGCGGGGCAGGAGCAGTTGGATAGATCAAACCTATATATACATTACGAGTAGATGAAGGAACAGCCTCTGAAGGAGGGTCGGCATGTGCACCCTGATTTTGGACTAGAGAGGGGGAAGCAGATTCCAAACCCCCAAGGGGCAACGTCTCTTTGGCTCCCACCTCTTCGGGTCTGGAAGGAATCGATCGAAGCGTTTCGTCCTCCCTATCAGCCAAGCGTGCAATAGGTGCAGACTTCATGGCATCCCCCATTAACTTAGCCCTCTTGGAGTTCTTAGCTGCGACGAGTTTTCTCTTGCGAATCCTCCTATCATATTCGCCTTCCTCTTCAGCAGTAAGGGCCTTAAACCCTTGAGTTGTCCCCCGATTCGTGTGCGAGTCTGACGACCAAATCCAAGCGACACATTTTCTTTCTCCTTGACTATATCAAAAGTCAAACCTCGGCGATAGCTCACATTCAAGAAATAGGAGAGTGGATACATCTTCTTCATATTTAGGAGAAAGAGGAAGCGATTATTGACTCTCCGTAGCAGCTTTGAATCTTCTGCATGTATAAGGCGGTCATCAGCTGTTATATGATCTCCGAATATGAACGCCGGTTTAGGAAATTGATCATGGCCGGCAGGAGTCTCCAAGTCTAAATCGGTGATCAAAGCTCTGAGAGTAGAGCATCGGGGAAATTGGAGCATACTCGTTCTCTCCGAGTCGGAGAAAGTGCACAACGGAATTTTGTTGCGAAGGCTAAAAACTTCATTCACGTCAGGGCCGCCAATATACCCAAAATGATGCTCTTGCGAAAGCGGCACGTTTGGAAGGAATACTGCAAAGTCAAAAGCAAAGATTAGCAGCTAAAACAAGTTGTTGACGTAAATATAAACACATAGATCAAGGCCCACGTGTCAAATCTTAAACACAAAGGGCCAGCCTCATGTTGTTTGCCGTTTATCTTGATTGCTTGGTAAATTTAGGGTTTCTTGATTGTTTAAGTTTTATCTTCCGCGGCGTGCATACTCCAACAGATAACCCCTACAAAATTGAGCAAAAAATAACACAAAAATGCATTTTGAAAGAGACTTAGGGCCTGTTTGGATTCGTAGGGGGTGAAGGGAAGTTAAGGGAAACTGAGTGAAGGGAAGGGAAAGGAAGGGAAGGGAATTCCCTTCCCCTTGGTTACACCCCAATTTGGGGGGTAACAATTTTTATACTATTAGGGGGTGAACCAAGGTGAATGGAGGTGAATTAACTTCACCTCCTAAGTGTTCCCAAACAAGGTGAATGAAGGTGAATGGTTCCCAAACAAGGTGAATGGAGGTGAATGGTTCCCCTAACTTCCCTTCACCCTCATTCCCCTCAATCCAAACAAGCCCTTAGTGTAATTTACCTAGAAGATATTGAGGGTTTTCATAATAACTATTAGGGGTATAATGCGATTTTGAAAGTTACTGGGCTTTACTAGGCATTGCTAAAAGTTTGGTGTAATTTACCCTAGGATTTAACTAATAGGAATATAGAGTTTTTACCTTTAAACCCAAAGCTTTACCTTAATTTATTTTTTATACCCAAATTGTTTACTTATACCTATAAACCCAACCAATTTTGTTTATTTGTCTTTAAACCCAACCTCGCAAAAACACTACACATAACTGTGTACCCTAAAAAAAAAAAAAAAACCCTAAAAAAGCCCAGTTACCCTTTCTCTCCCACTACTCTCTCTACCCTCTGAAAACTTTTTGGAATTGGTAGAAAATACCTAAAAGTTTTGATACATCATAAAAAATTCAAAAATAAAAAAAGACGCTCTGAAAACTACAAGCTTACATATAGTACACTGAAAATTTAGTAATTAGGAACAACCTCTGAAGAAATTAGAATTTGGGTTTGCAAGGCGACCTTGTTGCGGTGGCTATGTGGATCAGGGTTAGTTTTTGGGGGATGGAACCCCTCGGAGGCCCCGAGGTTGATTCTTAGTTAAAACGATGGCTTCTATTTTCTACTAGCATCTGAAGTCTTTTTTGTTCTTGTTGCAGATTCTTTTGCTAGAGAGCTGACAATATTCTAATTTTCTTTCAATCTTCCGATTGCTTACCAGGTTTACCAATAGCATCGTTGTTTCCGTTTTTGTACTTCATGGTACGTATGAGATTATACATTCCTTCATGCATATGCTCCTGTTCTCATTTTTCAGTACATTGCTTGTATATGACATAAGCAAAATATAGTTCATGACTTCATGGACTTCCATTTATCACAGATAAGGGACTTACATATTGCCGAAAGAGTCGAAGATATTGGGTTTTATGCAGGCTTTGTTGGTAAAATACATGTTTCCTATGTTAAAGGCGCGTCATTCATGTTCGGGAGAGCTTTGACTTCTGTAGTCTGGGGAGTAATAGCTGATAGATGGGGAAGGAAACCTGTGATAATAATTGGCCTCATTTCATTGTCAGTACTACTTATTTTTCACTTTAATTTAGACATGCTTTACTACAGAATTAATAGTCTTCCCTGTGCATTTCATATTTTCTTGACTTTGTTTAGTTTGTATTTCAGGATTATATTTAACACCCTCTTTGGATTGAGCGTAAATTATTGGATGGCAATTGCTACCAGATTTCTTCTTGGAGCTTTGAATGGTATACTTGGTCCGATAAAGGTATTCGCTAATTCCCTTACGTTGATGAGGTTGTTCTCATCAGTCCCTGTCAACTTTTCCCTTCTAATCAGGCTTTGTTCAGGCATACGCGGTAGAAATTTGTCGACCAGAGCAGCAATCTATCGCACTATCACTGGTATGAACCTTTTAGTATTGACTTATGCAAGCCTTAGTAGTAAAATGGAGTTACGGAAAATTCATACCATAGCTGCTATCTACCCTTGGTTAATGCTAGGTCTGTGTTCATCTCTGCATCTAATACTCTCTTTAACCTTTAGTCCTAAACATGTTCAACCACCTTACTGCAATAAGTGCGCTGCATTGCAGCATGATACACTAATTTAATTGTTGTTGTTTTTATTAATATTTTTATTTGTGAAAATTCCACACATAATCACAAATGCGTTATTGGCATTTGTAAAAACAGATAATTATTATATAATGTTGAAAAATAATAAAACAAGAACTTATCATGTAATGTGGAAAAATAGTAAAACAAGAAGCGATATGAAGCATGTTTTCATTGTTTTGATTTTGATGAACTAACAGGTATTGTTCCCTGTATGCACCTGCAATTATAGTTATCAAAAGTTTCACAATTTACAAACATATTTTCAGTTAGTGTTCTGACAAAAGGTGGACTCCTCTGGCATGTGGCCTTTTCTGGATAAGAAACTTCTCCAGCATATATACTCACTATAGAGACTTCTCTAACCATCTCGTATTTCTTTTATAATTCAGAGTTAATAACAGATCAATTGATATCCAGGTCAGTACAGCATGGGGCATAGGTCTCGTTATTGGTCCAGCTGTTGGAGGCTTCTTAGCGCTGGTATGAAATTTTCCGACCATAGTTTAAAAAAAAAATCTATAAAAAATTAGGATATGATACTCAAGACGCGAAGTTTAAATTAGTATCTTGGTAAATATGACAAAAAATGATACCCAACGAAATATTTGGCCAACATGTGCCTCGCATAGACACGGATTAATCGTAGAAGTATACGTTCTCCTATGCTCCTATTCTCACATTTGAGAATGCTGACCTGATGCTTCTCGGATGCTGATACTTTTTTTTGTCAAACTACAATATATTATGGAAATTTAGTCATAAACATATCATTTAAAGTTTTAACAATAGATATGTATAATTTATACTTAATTACAGATTGGAAGGTATATATATGTCGAAATATTTAAGAATGAAAATTTATGAATATGTTAGATCAGGAGAACTTAAAAGATTTTTTCCTTCACAGTTTTAAGTACAGCTAGGGAAGCAACATATGGGATAAAGTTAACCAAAGCTAAGTTGAAAAAATATGAAAGGATAAACTTTTGAGCTTCCATTACATATGAGTGTCACAATTACCAAATATATGCAGACATTTTCCAATGTTAATTTACAAGTTCTTTGGAAGAGTTAGTCATGAAATTCGGTATAAACATCTAGTCAATTATTTATTTCTTGTTGATGAAATTTTTTGTGCACTATGTGCCTGTTCGTTGTGATTAATATGTTTCTATCAGCCTGCAGAGAAATTTCCAGGTATTGTTTCTGAAGAATCCTTTCTTGGGAGGTAGGGATGGTTCACCCACTTACTTCAAATTGATTGCCTAATTATTGTTCTCATACTTTAAACCATCACATGTCTAGGTTTCCTTACTTCTTGCCGTGCTTCATTATATCACTCTTTTCTTTTGGAGTACTCATTGCCTGTTATTGGCTTCCAGTGAGTAATAATCCCATTTCTAGTCTTATTTTGTTTTTTCTCCTTTATATGTATGATGTTCTCTTTGGTGACTGAACATCATTCTTTATATATATTTTATGTTTGTACAATTTAGTGATCATATCTATTATTTTTACTAAATATACTTCTTTATCAGCATAGGTACGTCATAATTGTTCCCAGGCTATTAATTTCCTTGCTAGTGCACCAAAACTCTGAAGTTGTTGTGATGGTTAAGGGAATTATACTTATTATATGATACTCCCTTGCAGTTTGAGGGCCCCTTTTGTGAGCTGAAGTTTTTCTTTGTATATTGATTTTGCCTTTTAATTAACCTTTAGAATGTCCGCCCTGGTAAATACTTAAGTGGGGATTTCCTATAATAATAATAAAAAGCCTTAAGTGGGTGGCGTCGATACATCTTCTGGTTTTCTTTTCTTCCCCTCTTTACTTTCTACCTTTCATGTTTGGATTTTTGCTCTTCTTATTATTGCTGCTGGCATGGCTTATTTCTGTCAACCCACATTGATATACTATGATTACTTCAAACCTGTTTCTTGCAAGCCTATATTATCATTTAATAAATTCAGTGGCTACCCGGAAATAATGGGTCAAAAAATGAATTAGCTTCTTTTTGTACTATTGATTTGTTACAATTATGGTTAAGCAGGAAACAGTGCACAATCATCCTGGATACAAAACAGCCAATGGAACAATCGAACCTCTGGAGCCATCTCCTCATGACTCTGATATGAGAGAAAAGGATGTAGAAGGTGAAGGAAGGGCTCAACCTAATACAGAAAATCTTCTTACAAATTGGCCACTAATGTCATCAATCATTGTATATTGCGTTTTTTCTCTTCATGATACAGCCTACACCGAGGTAAAATTTGATATTTTACCTTGTCTTTCTGAGTGTTTTCTGTCAACACACATAGTATTATGTATTAGTTTGAATATTAGCATGCTTTAGTAGTAGTATTGACTGTAAAATTACAATCCTTGAGTTTGTACAATGAGCGTGCATGGGTGCATGCATGCGTGTTGTGTGTGTGTGCATGTGCGTGTGTGCTTGCATCCAATAATAAACTTGTATCATAGTAGAACATGTTTACATCCAATAATAAACTTGTATCCAGTTCTACCCCTTGGTTGGTTCATTTTGGCCACTCGATGTTTTTCTTGTCCTTATGCTAATCTATCGATCTGTTATTAATTTCTAGTTAGATTTAGTAACCAAATCTAAATTTTCAGATCTTCTCCCTATGGGCTGAGAGTGACAGAAAATTTGGAGGGTTAAGTTTTTCATCTGAGGATGTTGGCGAGGTTCTGTCAATCTCGGGTATGTAAATGTTGAACCCATATTTGGTTAAATGATGTTTCGTGTTATCCAAGTGACTCTGTGACACTATAGGATTATGGTTTTGGTCTCTATAATGCTTAGAGTGTCATGAATATATACGGACATTTATTTAGTCTTAACAGCATAATTTAGGGTCCTGATGCCCGTCGACCTTTAGATATTGTTCTGTGATTATTTTTTGGGTGACTAAGCAGCATTTCTTATTACCAGTGAAGGAAATAAAGTTCAAACATTCTGTGAAAAGTTGTTTGTATAGTATAAAGTTTAATGAACCTGACTTTCCAGAATTTGGCAGCAAAAATGGTGAACATTCAGTAATAAATAATATAATACTAACTTATTTATTTATTTGGCCCCCTATTTAAAGTTCCTCGGATTATGGCATGATGTATCTTATGTAAGTTTTATTCATCCATATCTTGATTCCTAATGGTTAGTTACTGACTTGTAGGTTTCAGTCTTCTAGTATTTCAACTGTTTCTTTACCCACCAGCAGAGAGACTCCTCGGGCCCATAAATTTGTGTCGTGTTGCAGCAGTACACTCTCAGTTTCACCTCTTAATCCTTTTATGTTTATTCCGTCATTGCCTATTTACCTTGACATCCCATGCTTTCAATATGCAGGCTATTTCTATTCCATTACTTGCCATGTATCCCTTTATGCCTAAGTTGTCAGGAGTTGTGCTTTCAGTAGTAGTGAATTGTGCATCCTTGTTGAAGAACGTTCTTTCGGTGAGTACAAATTTGCACAAAGTTTTGTTTGATAGTTGTTAAATCATACAACTGTTTTTCTACAGGAAAGGCATGTTAATATGCGTATCCAATAATGTCTTAGAAGTGCGAACATCAACCTTGTCTATTTTGATTTTCCTTTTTCCTCTCAAATCTGGTAAGTGCATTATAATGCATGAATCATGACGGACAGAAACCAATAACATTTTCACAGAAATCAATCTTGTTTGTGCACCACTTTGATATAATTTATGATGAAGAGGATTATGTGTTGATTGTGAATTAGAAAAGTTCATGGAAGATTTTTGCTTATTTAAGTTTTCTGGAGATTTGTGTAGAGAAATGTATATACTGAATACTGATATCTGTAGTGTATGCATGGTTGCTGAAATTTCAGAAAGTGCATATGTGACTCCCTTTTCTTTTGTTGAACATTGAATGTATATTTTTGGTCCGAAAAGTTGTTTCTCACTGTACAGTAATACTTTTAGAGGTGATGATTCAAGCTAGCTCCTTGCCTTGTCTAATGCAATTCTCTTTTCTATGCAGACGATTATCATTACTGGAATGTTCATGTTGCAAAACAATGTGGTGGTAATTGTCTATTCATCTCGCGATGCGATAGTCAATTTTTTTAGCTAGAACTGACCAAAACAATTTCCTACTGATAATATTCCTTGTTAAAAACAACAGTCTCAGCGGCAAAGAGGAGCTGCAAATGGTATTGCGATGACTGGAATGTCTATTTCCAAAGCTATTGCCCCAGCAGGTGCAGGTGTAATGTGAGTATGATCTTCTTAAACTTAGTCAGTCAAATTTCTACTCTGATATTTCTCTTTGTTTGAGGTTATCAATGAACTACCAATCATTTGCTTTATAGAAACAAATTTATTAAAGTTTCTCATTCTCAGTTTTATTACGGTTAAGAACTGTTGATACAAACATCAGTTATTTAACTACACACGAAGCATGCCTCTGGTCCCAGGGTACCGTGTCCACATGACCTACCTTTTACAAATTGGCCATGTCCTGCACCCGTACCTGAACTGTGCTCATACCCATGTCCATGCAACTTAGGTGTTTAGTGTAAAAAATACTTACTTCTCATTATACATAATGTTCCAACTTTCAATTTTATAGATGGGAACCTTTGGAATGGTATCAAGCATACCATTTCTTATATTACTCTACTTTTCACGTCTAACTAGTTCTGAGTGACCAATATACTTTGACTTGAATCAATTCTGGATCTTATCTTTTACCCTGTAAGACCTTTTAAAATCCTTGTCATTGCTAAAAAAACTTAGTTTTCCCTTTTAATTTTTATGCCCTCACTGTTTGATGGCAAGCATTTAAGTCTGTCCTAAAAGTAAAACTTTAGGAAAGTTATTTCCAATTAATTGTTTATCTTTAGTTTAATTTGTCTTATTGAAAAGGGAAGATCGGTGTGATTACTTCACTTGGTTTTTAATAATCCAAAAGATGGCCAACATTCGTGCAAAACAGGGGTGCAAATAGGTTAGATGCGAATGGATATGATACTTACCATATCTGTATCCATTTGCCAACAAAGGATATGGATATGTTGTCTCGGTGAGGAAAACCCACATCCATATCCTCCAAAATCGATTACGAATATGCACAAAATAAGAAATATGTAGGGGTATGAAAAAATGCGGACGACAGATAAAATTGTAATATATATAGGTCATGTGATATTAGAGGAGAGTCCATTAATATGTTTTGCATATCAGAAAAGCTCAGGTTAAATCTCTGGACTATCAAATTAATCTCAAATCCATTAATCTAATGGTTAAAACCATTCTCAAAAAAAAAAAGGAAAAAAAAGAAGAAAGCGAAGGTTAAAACGATTGCTAGTGTATGATCGACATGTATTTGGATATTCCAGATTTGGGTTCAACTATTTCACTGTATGGCTGTAACCATATCCTATTGGAAATATCCATATTCTTATCCTAGCGGATACAGATATATCCGCAAATACTGATATTTTTGCACCCCTGGTGCAAGGGGAAGAGTGCTCACTTGCTTTTTGCTATGATACAACTTCTTTTTAATTATTTATAAAATGCATATGGCACTTCTACGTCAAGTATCAATGCACTTTATATCTCATATTACATGCACAAGTGGTAATCATACCTGGTTGTTTCAATCAAAGATTCAAGACTAACAATTTTTTTTTAAAAAGAAGACAACCCAATTGTTAAAAGTTAATGCTTGTAATTTTAAGTGTTTCTTTATACATGGTTATTTAAAGATGCATTTCAAAGAATCTTTACAGTCATCCTTGCCCATGGATGTGCATGTGTTCGAAAGTTCCCATATGCGTGTTCGCGCAAGAGATTTGAAACTGATCACTTGTCTTTATGTTTACAGAAATGCTGATTGGATCAGAATTTCTTTCTCCTGTTTTATTTAACAATTGAAAATTAATCACCCTTAATTGCAGATTTTCATGGGCACAAAAGCGCCAATATTCTCCCTTTTTACCAGGTATAGTATAATTTAAAGTTCGTCTTGTTAGTTCTTCAGTGTTCTCCCCAGAGTCCTGATAGTATATCTCAAATTTCGAGCTGTTTGAAGAATTTTGTTGATTGTTTTCACTTGCTGGTGTAATCTTTATGGCTAGAATTGTGTTAATCAACCGTTGTTTTTTGGTAAATTTGTCCAGAAAAAAACCCAAAACTTTTGGATGCTTCTACAAAACTCCTTAGAACTTTATTTATTCCAAAACCCGCCAAACCTTTTCATACAGAACCCCCCAAAAAACTACCACTCAATAACAAAAGTAATCCCTACATATTTTCCATATTTTTATATTTTTATTGAGGTATTTGAGTAATTTGACATTGAATAGTAATGTCTTTTGGAATAAAAAAAAAAGTAATAAAAGAAAGTTCAGGGGGAGTTTAGTGGAATAAACAAAGTTCAAAGGGGTTTCACGGGAAATGCCTCAAGGTTTTGTGGGTTTTGTCAAATTTACCTTTTTTAACATCCCCTCTTAAATGGTCTAGATTAAGAAGTTGGATATTGATTTTTGAATTTCTAACACAGTACATTTAAGATTATAAACTTATAACTCTCAATCTTCTTACAACTTCGGAATTTTGGTGCGATAGACCTTTAATATGTTATTCGAGCAACCCAAGTTCAAATCTTATTGGACATGAATTTCTAAAGCATATAATTATGTAAGTCCACGTTTCGGCCCATGAAATAGCGCTCTATTTGCAAGGACATGTTGCAGTATAAAATGACAACTCTTAACCTTAACTACAATTTTGGACATTTAGTGTAGTTGTATTGACCTTCGACAAATAAAATTTCTAAAACTGAATGTTTCTTGATGCTGCAGGGGATCAAATGGTTTTCTTCATATTGATCACAACGGAGTTGATAGGCCTCATCATGACCTTCAAACCCTTTCTAGCAATAAAATGATGAAATGCAAACATCGATACATATGCACGATAGAGCTCAAGGCACAAATCTGCCTCAATGTGATGTAGTAGATTGGTGGGCTTTCAATTGTTGTATGGACTTGTTTCTGCTTCAATAATAGCCGATTGAGTTTTTCAATTTTGAATAGTTTATTGCCAGAATTTAAGGAATGTTGATTGTTAGAAAAAGTTAAAAGTTTGGGGGTTTGTTTGTGATGCTTTTAGTGTTGGGGGTTTCGGGGGAAAAGTATTTGAGGGTTTGGATTCATATCTTTCTGGAATTAAGTGGTTAATACGCCATGGGAGTTTTTTTCATCCCATGATGGAAGGGTCCATGCCAAACTTTTTTGGAGGGTATTATCAATTTCCTATTTTTGAAGGCCATCTGTGAGTATTTAGTCAATATTAAAATATTGTTATATTAACCAATTAATTTGTTAAGTTCACCACTCTTTTTTAAAAGGGAAAATTGTTTGGAGCAACTCTAAAAAGTTGAGCTATGCATCCTCGTCCCCAGCCAAAAAACCAATACCCCCAGCCCTTATACAGAAACATAAGTGCAACTAACTCCCAAACACTGTATAAATCCACTACCCAATAAAGCCATTTCCAAATTACCCTTCCCAATTTAAAACCGAAAAAAAATACTCCCACAATCCCTTTCTAAGCGCGATTTTCGAAACCTTCCCCTGCAACCAATTTCCACATTTTCGAAACCCTCTTCCTCTCAAGACCACCGACGACGACGACAACCCTAACTGCTCGTCGTCTTTGTCTTCGACTTCGTGTTCATCGACTCTCCTTTGAATTGTTTTCGTTGACTCTTGAATCTGGGTATTCGCTCGACTCGTCACCAGCTCGTCGCCCACTCGGTCGCTCCCCTGGGTTCACACAAGGCTGCGGTCTAAGGTGAAACCAGAGATATCAAACCTGTCATGTACCCACACTGTGCATAAACATGTTTCACCAATCATAGTAATATCCTCTAGTAGAACCAAATAGAAGTGCATGTACAAACATGCAAAATAAAGGGAATAAATGTAATAGACATGATATAGAAGAGATATCTCATAAATGAAAAGAATCATGTCTCAACTATAATACATCTGATATCTGAATAATGAAAATGTCTCAACATGAATCAACTAAGAATCGTACTAAGGCACACTGCCTTTACAATATGAATATGAAATTCTAATGTCTGGATAAAACTCAAAACTACAGTGGAGTCTCTACAAGTAAAAATATGCGACGGCGACTATGCCAGAACTCCGTCACCCTGCGGCTCTACGAAACTCCGAACTACCTGAAAATGTATTTTTAAAAGAAAAAGAAACAACAACAAGAGCGTCAGAGCGCTACAGCAAGATTACCTCCATCCGCCCCCAGAGGAAGGGCTGCTAGATGGAGTGGAGGCTCTATCTATTAAGCATAGTCTACTTAGATTCATTTTTCCCGCATCTAAGTAGGATTAACATTTAGAAACCTACAACACGAGACGTAGTACGTCGAGCGAAATAATCCAAACAAGGAAACCCTCATGTATATACCATAAGTCTCAAGTTGTGAATCTCTAATCATTGATCCCAACTAAGAAGTAAAAAAGATAGTAAAAGAAATAAGATATCAACACATCTTATTTATAATATCTTCCACTATCACTGGGGAGATAGAATAAAATACCAACACATAATTTTGTATACTTTTAAAAGTAACGTATCTCAGTCATATAGTTCAAAGATAGGTCTTATTCATAATCGGCATCTGTCATACTTAGGCTATCAAGTAATTGTCTCAGTGCAACAGACTACCCTGTAGGTATCCTGAACTGTGTACACGGCTCATTAGTCTCATCGCGATCTTAGTGCATAACATGAGTGCGGGATGGACTACCAAATAGGTATCCTAGAAATATGGCTCACGAGCCTCATCACACCCTAGTGCGGGACGGACGACTAGATCAAGCCTCCTAAAATCTGACTCAATGGTCTGTACATGTGGAATATCGACGCGCTACCTCATGTAGTACTGAACTGAGCTCATCAACGATATCCACCTCATATAAATCTTTGTATCTCTGGTATGTCGACACACTATCCCATATAGTACTAAGCTGTGCTCATCAACGACATTCACCTCATGTATAAACCGTGTATATCTGGTATGTCAACGTACTATCCCATATAGTACTAAGCTGTGCTCATCAACGATATCCAACATGTATATGAACTATATCTAATTCAATATGATCAAATTAAAATTCATCATAATCCCCTTGGGATTCTTAAATATCTAACATAACATATTCATGACTATACGTGTAACATCAAGCGGCTCAAAACTTCGCGAACGCACCTCAAAACGGCGCAACACAGCTCCACAAAACGAGCAGGAAAAATAGACATGATATCTGTTAGTAAAACAAGTATATCTTTTTCTAGGAAAACTATTTTGACAAATGGTTTTCTGTTTTAAACTATATTCACACATCTTTCAAATGACATAAGTTTGGTTCAGTTTGGAGTTCATTTGTTATCCCAAATCTCCAGTTAAACATTATATATGCGTAGCCATTTTTCTGCAGGACATATTATTAGCAAATATAACATATCTTTCTCTATACAAACTCTTTTTAAGAATGGTTTTCTATTTAAGAAACTAGATATATATATCTTTCATATAAAACTAGTTTGGTTAAATTTGGACTTTATTTGCTTTCTTAAACTCTCAATTAAAGATTATATAAGTGCTACAGTTTTCTGCAGAAAAACATATATATAGTACATCACTTAAAATTTCTCATATATGAATAAAATTATGAAAAATCCTAATGATCATGATCATGATACTATCATAAACAGCAAGAAAAGATTATTAATCTAGTATTTGTTTTAAGGTTTACTATCAAAAATCTGACTTTTAACACCTCAGGTTAAGATTAAAGCATGAAAACACATATTCAACATCATATTAATCATCTACACTAGTTATTTAACTATGGGGATAGATTTGGATAAAGATAATCTTGCCTGAAATGTCGTTCTAAGCCTCTGAGATAACCAACAAGCAATTAGAAGTGCAAACAACTCGTTTTCTCCTTGCTACACGTCGATGATCTCGCCCTTGTGTCGATATTTGCTTCACAAAGCTCTCAAAATTCTTAATTTTAGGGTTAGGGCTTTAGAGAGAGGAATAGGGACTGATAGGGTTTGAAACTCTGATGTAAGGGTGATAATTTTCATGAAAACATAAGTATATATATATATATATATATATATATATATAACACACACACACACACACACACACACACACACACACACACACACACACACACACACACACACACACACACACACACACACACACACACACACACACACACACACACACACACACACACACACACACACACACACACACACACACACACACACACACACACACACACACACACACACACACACACACACACACACACACACACACACACACACACACACACACACACACACACACACACACACACACACACACATATATATATATATATGCAAACCCGAAATAAACCCGTTTGACCCGAACCAGGAAACCTAGTTTGACTAAAAAAATAACCTTCGGTATTTTGGCAATAACTTTCACGTTCGACCTTGGAATAAGGTGATATAAGATTTGTTGGAAATCTGTTGAAAAGACCTACAACTTTGGTATTTTGATTTTTCCCAGATTATAAGTGTATCGTTGTGTAAAATCTATAAACTCTTAACTAGTCATTTTTCCCAGATTTTTTTCTCGTGCATGTTTTGTGCATTTGCACTCATATATTCATATATATGTATTGGATTGATCTCAAATCAATTCCTAGCATACTCAAATATTAATAAACGTTATTTATCATAATATAACATATTTATTATTATATCTCACAACATTCAGTATTACGGGGTTTTACAGTCAACAAGGACCCTCGACGACTGCAAGCTCGTCTTCCCCTGGAGTCCCTCTTCTTCACCGAATAGTGACACTCGCCGCTAAAAATACAGGATGGCAAATTCATCATCTCAGTCATCTGAATCAGCAACAACAAAGCCTGAGTTGTAAGTATCAACTGAATTATCCACATTTGTTCATTTATTTTGTATGGCATTGTGAATTTATCCACGTTAGAACCCTAAGTAGATTTAGTTTCTCTTGTGTTGTGTTTTACAGTAAGTGTGATATTAGAATTTGTTGTAATATATGTGGATATTATGAATTCATGGATGAAATTGTTCTACGAATGAGGGCCGAACAGTGGAAAGTTTATGGATCCTCCAATTTCCAAAACTATGTTAGTTTTGGAGCAATTCCATCCGACAAAGCTACGATCATGCTACTGCTCGATCATCTAGATTTAGCCACGGGAAAGTTTTTTTTCAAGGATATCCAAACGGGGACTAAACAAGCCTACCATTTGATGTAAATTGGGTGCTAAAACATACATGGTTCAAGGATGAAGGGGAGAAACCAGAAGGGAATCGCGATGCGACGAATAGGATATGGAGTGCATACTTTAACAACAAGCAACAAGAAAAATATAAGAGTGGCTGAGATTACCTTGAGACCTTATTGGATAAATTGGTTCAATCGAAAAAAAATTGGATGTTTCAGATTTTATTATGCTTCAAATCCTTTATCAACTCACAATGATATGGACTCCAACCACTAGAATGAATGCACCGCAACATATGTTCAAGTATATGACTTGGATAGATTTGCTTGATCATTTCCCATGGGCGATGATTATCTACAATGAATTGTGGGACTCTTTCAAGGCTGCGAAGATAGCTAAAAGGGGTAGACATATCTTAGCGGGTGCGCTCACTTGCTATCGGTGAGTTATCCGTGTTATTTGTAACTAATATATTGTATTTGCACCTTATCTATGATCATTGCCATTTACATATGATATATCACACTAATATGATGTTTGTGCCCCATATGTGATATTTGTCCATGCAATGCATTGTTTAATTGTGACTTTTGTAGTTAATATGTGATATTATCCCCTTTTATGTGATTAATGTCTTTTACATACGACATATGATACTGATATGTGACATCTGTGACCCATATGTGACATTTGTCTCTGATATGTATTG